CGCCCTGCACAGATGGAGGTGGGCATCGAGGACTGCCTGCACATCGAGTTTGAGTACGACAGCCCCGCTTTCCATCTGGACGATGTGGTAATCGGCCGCATCTTCTTCCTCCTCGTCCGCGTCAAGATCAAGCACATGGAGCTGGAGATCAAGCGTCGCGAGTCAGTGGGCGCCGGCGCGGCCGCGCGCTCCGAGTCCGACACCGTGGCCAAGTACGAGATCATGGACGGCGCGCCCGCGCGCGGCGAGGTCATCCCCATCCGCCTCTTTCTCGCACCCTACGACCTTAGCCCCAGCGTGGACAGCGTGCACAACCGCTTCAGTGTCAAGTACTTTCTGAACCTGGTGCTGGTGGACGAGGAGGACCGGCGCTACTTCAAGCAGCAGGAGATCACGCTGTATCGCGCGGAGGAGGGGGCGGGGGATGGCGCGGCAAAGGGTGGCGCCGCACGCCTGCCGCGGGGCCTCGTCGCCGCGCTGCCAGAGGCTCCGCCGCCCAACCCCGTTGCCGCCGCATAGGGGTGGCCTGCCGAGGGTTGATGACCAGCGTGCCTGCCAGGCTGTAACATGGCCTGTGCGTGATGAGGTGCAGGCAGATTGTCTGGCAGGAGAGGGTAAGGTCAGTGACGCGTCGAGTGGAGCTTCCTGGAGCAGGGCACGTGACTGCTGGGTGATTCATGCAGCGCGGGTGCGTACCCCTGGTCCATATTACAGTGCACTGCCATGGCGGCGATGCCCCTCACAGCCATGCTGGTCTGTGTGAGTTCTCGCCGAGTCTGCCCCAGCGAGTGCGCTTGCTCGAGGGAAGGACAGGCATGGCTTCCTCGCATGCGCTCAGACCCCATCGGTACCACATGTGACGACGGCAGCCAGTACCTTTCATGGTATGCACTCATGCGAGTAGGCAATAAAAGCCTCAGTGCAGCTTGAAGCCGGAGTGGATGGCCACCACGCCCCCCATCAGGTTTTCGTACTCCACGCCCACCAGCCCCGCGGCCTCCAGCTGCCGCGCCCAGCTCTCCTGGTCGGGGAACATGCGGATGGATTCCACCAGGTACTGGTAGCTGGCGCCGTCGTTTGCCACCAGTCTGCACGTTGGTGGGAAAGTTGTGAACAGGGGGAAAGGCCCAGGATCGCTCAACATCACAGCAGGCTGCAACAGCACTCTTGGGGGGGCCACCTCGTGGGCTGCCCACCCCCCGGGGACAAGAAGAGTCGTCCCAACAACCTCCCACCCACCTCCCGATCTGGGGGATGACGGCAAAGGAGTAGAGGTCGTACAGCTGCTGCAGCCCGGGGACCACTACCTTGCTGAATTCGAGGCACAAGAAGCGGCCGCCAGGCCTGAGAACTCTGCAAGTATCCAACCAGGCGGGGAGGGGGGAAGGTGAGCCTGGAAACAATTCGACAGTCTGATCATGAAAGGGCAGGCACACACACAAGAAAGTGGTGAACTACGCCGAGGCAGCTATTACACATGTTGGTCCTGCAAACGGCCTGGTGAGGAAACCTCAGCATACAAGGGATGTGACCCTCTGCAGCTGAGCGCATCATACCCTCCAGCGCCCTGGGGTAAAGGGGAAGAATACCGCATCCTCACCCTCGCCCACCGGACAACCCATCCAGCTACCTCTTGGCTTCCCGCAGAGCAGCGTCCCGATCCGTCACGTTGCGGATGCCGAACGAGATGGTGTAGGAGTCCATGCTGTCGTCCGGGAAGGGCAGCGTTTCGGCGCTGGCCTCCACCCACTCCAGATCGTACGAGTCTGGGCGAGGGAGTTTGGAGGGTGAATTCAAGCCGGCAACAGGGACTTGTGCTCAAGTGGTTGAGATCAGGATGAGACATGCTGCTTACGCAATTTAATAACGGCAGTAACCACACCCTCAGCCTTGCAATGGCAACCTCCCTGGAAACTCAATTCACACCATCATCCATTCACCCCCTCACCGATGCCCTCGCCGGCAGCTCGTTTCCGGCCCTCCAGCAGCATGGCAGGGTTGATGTCGGCGATCACCACCGTGCCTTTTTGGGGCGGCGCGCTCCTGCTTGGGCCGGGCCCGGGAACCTGAGGCCGGGCCGCGGCCTCCGCCTCCCTCAGAGCCCGCAGGACACGGAAGGCCACGTCGCCGGTGCCGCCAGCCACGTCTAGGTGGCGCATGCCGGGGAAGGGCCGCAGCTTCTCTACCAACCTGCCGATTTAGGTCAAAAGGGACTCAAGGTGGAGGAATCAAGGGGGTAATAGTTGGCAAGGTCAGGTTCGCAAGCCCATGACCTGGCCTCGCAAGGGGACTACAATGCCTCATCCTGCCAAAGCTCTGGCAGCTGCACGGGAGCCATACCCGGAACAGCAAGCCCCTGAAACGCAGCAGCGAGGCGTGCAGAATACAGGTACCCAAGCCAGGGTCGCTTCAACCCTACCATCACCTGTCTTTCCAGACACGGTGCATGCCTGCACTCATGAGGTCGTTCATGACATCATAGCTGGGCGCTACACTGCGGAAGACCCCTCCTACCAGGGTCTCCTTCTCCGTTCGAGGAACAGACTGATATCCTGCGTTGTGGGATCAAATTCCCTTGATCAGAGCACGAGCCCTGTAGTGCTTGAATGGGGGGGACGAGCACGACGGGGACTTGGTCACCCACCGAAATCGACGGTCTCCTTGGGTACTTCAGGGATCTGGGGCGCTACAGTGCTGGTGTGAAATTGAAAGGATGCATGTCGGGATGCTAGACCGATTAAGCCTGGCAAATCCGCGACAGAGCGCCGTAGACAGAGCGCCATGTCTGCTGACCCCAGTCTCAAGACGGCCGGGAAGCCTCTCCCGTGGTGTATATATCTAATCAAGCGCGAATATTTGCATCATCTCCGCGATTCGACTGCTAGGGCGAACATATGCTTCGCACGAGTCGAAGATATGTCGCTACCGGGCTTGCGCCGGTTGCACAGCTGCTTCCCGCAAGCGGGATCTGACTGGCGCAGTTGGTTGCCTCGATCGGCGAACCAGAGGGTGTGGGAGGGCGGGAGAAGGGGAAGCAGGGGGGCCACCAAATGCAGTGGGACGAAGTGCACCAGCAAAAAAGCACTTGGTCAACATCAGGATGTTGGCCGCTCCGTTCAC